ATAAGTATGTTCCAAGTACTGCATGGTACATAGTTACACTTCTAAAAAGTATTTGTTTCCATTCTGAAGTTCAGAGTTAACTGGGCGTCTGTAATTGTTTCTGGCAGCTCAACCAGCAGCTATTTACTGAGCCCCAGCTAGATGCCTGGAGGACGGGAGGCAGAATGCAGCCCACCAATGTGCCTCTTTTGGCTCATGGGATGTTTTCTGTTGGGGGGCTTTTTGTTAAGTAACTTTTCAAAACAGGGCACGTTCACTGAGCATACTGGATTTCTGGCTTCTCTGGGAAACTTGACTGCTACGGCAACTCTAGGCCCGTGATCCCACAGGCCACCAGCTTCCTGGCCCCTCGGGACCTGAGCTCCTGGATTTGCCCATTTCACCCTCTTCTTTTACTTCCCTGGCCCCTGGTGGTGTCTGGTTGATGACCCCAGCAAAACTCAAGGGTCCCTGAGAGGGAGACCCCAAGCTCAGGTCTCTCCCTCCCTGCTGCAGCTCCAGCACCTGGGGGATGCTCTTTCTTCAGAGAACCTCTCAGAGGTGTGGCATCTTGAGGCCACCAAGTTGCACACTGTAAATGAAACCCCAGGGAAATATCAAGCTTCAGATTTGGGGTAACGGTGACCTCCAAACAGCCGCAGGTCTCCATCTCCTGGCAGGAGTTCAGCCCCTGTGGGTTCCATCATGCCTGGGTTGCTGGGATGCTTAGGTGAAAAAACACGGGACTTTGGTGATGGGGGCACAAGTGCTCACAAGGCTCCTCCGCCTGCTCTAGGAGGCTTTGCTTCTAGCCAAAGCAGATTTGTCCCCCAAGCAGAGTTCAGAGTTCCTCACAGGCCCCTCAGGTGACCAGTCTCCTCCTCTCCTGGAACCTGGAGCAAAGGTCCCCAAGAGACTCAGCAGGACATGGACCAGGGCTCCCAGATCAGTACCCCTTTCTCCGCAGACCATGCTGCCACTCACTGTTCTCGGGAAGGCCCCACACGCCAAATGGGTAGCATCTGAACATGGAGGGACAAACGTTTATCTTTGATTTGAAAGGCAAAGAGAAACACAAGCTAAATGTTGTCACTATTTTTTCTGTATTAAAGAGACGAATGTTTGTAGAGATGGTGAAGAGCATGATGCAGAACTCAAATTCCCAGGTGAGCCAGAAAGAAGAGAGAAAACAGTAGGAGGTCAGCAGGGAACCCGGTGGACAGTGGTACTGTGTCTATTACATATTGAGCCCGTGGTGGCTGCCAGGCACAGAGCTAAGCTCTCAACTTGCATTATCTTATTTCATCATTGCAGCGCCCAATGACCTGGGCAGTGTCATCACCCCCAGTTTACAGATAAGGTGTCTGAGGCTCAGAGACTTTAATTTGTCCAAAGCCACACAACTAAGTAGGACATCTCGGTAGAATTCCAGGAGCATCTGACAACAGCTGAGTGCCCCTTGTTCTCCTTCAGGTAGTAAGCCTGATATGGTTCGGCTGGCATTTCTCTTGAATATGAAGGCACATCCTCCAGAATCCTCTTTTTTTTTAAGAGTTGATAAGCAAGGACATAAAATCTTGAACAATGTTGACCCCTGGCCATTCACAGTCCAGCCCTGGAACTGGAATTGACCCAATCCATATGCTGCTTCTCAGAAAGTAGAGACCAGCTCTCGGGGAACTTGAAATCTAAGTACATTTTGGGTGCATAAGAGAGAGGAGTTATATTCAAGTTTGATAAAAGGCTACGGTTATTTTGAGACAGCTAAATTATCACTGGGGCTCGGGCCCATAGCTCAGTGGTTGTGAGTCATGTGCTACATAGGAAAATTTTTTAGGGCACATAAAAAAATTTTGTGCTAAGCACTGGGGAGAGAAGTGTGAACGAAAAGACTAACCTGGCCCCTCCTTTGCTCAACAGATACTGACGGAGAGCCTGTGACCACATGGCACAGCCTGTTCAGGGTCTAAGTTTCAATCACACACCCTCCAAGGGGGCATGTCACCCCTGAGAGGGCAAAAACTCGTTCATTTTATATGTAAAGCACAGATGTGTCTCCGTACAGATATGCAGTTATGCGTACGCACCTATACAGGTGCTATCTGTAAGGAGGTAGGAGGGATTAGGAAGAATTACCTAAGAAGTCTTGGCGGGGGGGGGGTACCGTAATGAAAAAAGACTGAGAAATAATTAATTAGATCAATGAAAACATAAAAATCCCTGCCTTCCTGGCTTACGGTCTTGGGCCACTTTTTTTATACACCTAAGTGCAGGTAATGATTAAATAATTACTTTGTGCAAAGCGTTTTGAGGGCAAAGGCCGGTGGACTGAGTTCAGGAGCGTATTTCATAGGGACCTGCCCAGCCCGAGGTCCAGGAGAGGACTCTCCAAGGAGGAGAGATGGGAGGTTGTGTGGAAATGGGCAGGGACTTCCTGGACGCAGTTGCAGGAAGCAGCCACCCCTGTGTGTACTGAGTTAATTTCCACTTGCCAGCCATGTAAACCACTGCCTGGCCAGGCGCGGTGGCTCACGCCTGTAATCCTGGCACTCTGCGAGGCCAAAGCAGGTGGATTGCTTAAGCTCAGGAGTTTGAAACCAGCCTGAGCAACAGCGAGACTCTGTCACTACTAAAAACAGAAAAATTAGCTGGGCATTGTGGCAGGTGCCTGTAGTCCCAGCTACTCAGAAAGCTGAGGCAGGAGGATCCCTGGAGCCCAAGACTTTGAGGTTGCTGTGAGCTACCATGCCACGGCACTCTCCCCAGGATGACAGAGTGAGACTCTGTATCAAAAAACAAAACAAAATTCTGCCTTTTCATTCTGAGGGTTAGGCAGCAGATGCGTGGTGTCAGGGCGGCCTCCATGGGTTCCCCAGCCCTGCTGCCCACCCAAGCACTTTCGCACTCCCCATCTCTCCCTCCTCCCAGGTCAGCCTTCTCTGCAGCCTTCTGCTCCCCCTCCCTTCTCACACCAAAATGAGAACCAAAGCTCCTTCTGTGGGGCTTCCCACCCCAGGCTCCCGGCAATGCCCCAAACTCCCTGACAGTGGACTCCACACTGGGTCAGGGCTCTGGCATTTGAGAACCGTCCATGGTCAGCAATTTTAGTGAAAAGCAAATGAAAAGGAATATAAAGAATGGGTTGTTTAGAGGCTAGAGCTGTTGATGTTTGTGGTTTTGTTTTTCCCTGGGCACCGAGACCAATATTTACCTTTTGGGCTGGGGTAGCGATTTTAGCACCCTGAAATGATCTTGAACGCCAGTCTCAAAACCCCTCCAAGACTCTTTTCAGGAGGTGATTTAGGTATTAAGGGAAAAGAGCTTAAGGGTCATCCTAACAGACTCTGACATTGAAATCCTCTTAGGATCTTCACGAGGCCCTCTGCAGAAGACGGGGCGATTTTCGGGTCCCTGCTTGACAGACAAGGAAACTGAGGGTGATGCACTAAGAGTGGCAGAGCTAAAACTCGGCTGCCCGCCCAGCCCCCTTGCCCGGGGTGTATGTGGGTGCTGAAGGCTGGAGTCTAAGGTTTGCAGGAAGCAAAGGCTGGAGGTTTAAACCTGTTGGAAAGAAACTTGCAAATCACAAAAGTATCTACCAGTATGAACAAAGTTGTGTAGGAGAGATTCTCTTAGGTTGCAATTTAGAGAAACCTACTCAGGAAGTGGAGGGGAGGGGTCTTAGAAGGATACAGGAGTGTGACCCTCTTGAAAGTGAAGGGAGAGGAGTGGGACACTGTCTCCCCAAGCAGCGTCTCCCATGCTCATGCACACACGTGGGACACCCACAACTCATGTCTTTTGTCCTCTCTACGCCTCCGCTGATTTTTCTCTCTCTAGTCATGTGACAGGAAGAGACAATCCCACAGTCCCCCAGATCAAAGGACCAGCCCAGAAAGTGAATGGCATCTCAGAGGCCCTAGCCCCAAGTCCTGGGCATGACCATCTGCTAAGCCCAGCTGTACCAAGTGCCCAAGTGACTATGACCTGGGGTAGGGAACACACTTGGCTGCCAGGATGCCCCCTCCTGAGGGTGGGAAGTGCTCAAAAGGCTAGACAGACCCCCTCAAATGTACTGCGTCTTCTCAAAGCCATCAGGAGCTATCAGCCAACATGTTCAATGCAGTAACAGCTGGAACACCATCAAAATGAATGAGTGTACTCATCATAAGAAGCTCCTGATTGGCTCGGCGCCTATAGCTCAACCGGCTAAGGCGCCAGCCACGTACACCTAAGGTGACGGGTTCGAATCCCCAGCCCGGACCCTCCAAACAACAATGACGGCTGCAACCAAAAAATAGCCAGGCGTTGTGGCGGGCGCCTGTGGTCCCGGCTACTTGGGAGGCGGAGGCAGGAGACTCGCTTGAGCCCAGGAGTTGGAGGTTGCTGTGAGCTGTAATGCCACGGCACTCTGCCCAGGGGGACAGCTTGAGGCTCTGTCTCAAAAAAAAAAAGAAGCTCCTGATTTCAGCTTGGCGCCCGTAGCTCAGTGGTTAGGGCGCCGGCCACAGACACCAGAGGTGGCGGGTTCAAACCCAGCCCAGGCCTGCGAAACAACAATGACAACTGCAACCAAAAGATGGGCGGGCATTGTGGTGGGCGCCTGTAGTCCCAGCTGCTTGGGAGGCTGAGGCAAGAGAATCACTTAAGCCCAAGAGCTTGAGGTTGCTGTGAGCTGTATCGCCACGGCACTCTACCCAGGGCGATATACTGAAACTCTGTCTCCAAAAAAAGAAGCTCCTGGTTTCAAAACCATCAAATATGAAAACATAAACAGGAAACGCAATATCTATCCCCTGCAGGTGTGGACCCCCGAACACCGATCAGGCTTATTACCTTTAGGTAGTATGAGAATGAGAAGTCATTTTATGTCCTTTTTGTTCACACCTATGCGTATGGGTGTGTATGTACATGCAAATTACTTTTGTGTATAAAAAAATAACAAAGCCATTTGAGTGAAACATTTTGGGATCTTGCTATAATGATAGACTTTGTGTATTTGTTCCTCTTGCTTGTTGAAGGTTGGAGTCAGAAGAACCACCCTCAGGGCCACCCAGGAAAGACAGATGCTAAAGAAAGAGACTTCCAGCAAATCCAGCCACAGCCTTTTATTTTCTAAGCCTGGTGGGAGGGACTAGAGAAGCATCATCCCACCAGGCCTTCCATGATCCTCCGTGAGTCGACTTGACTCTTCTGTGTCAAAATACTAAGATGCTTTTGTAGGACTTTAAAGAGTTACTGCAGTATTTTCTTTCTAGATTAATATTTCACAGAATATTTTATTTTGGAGTATGTGGGGAGAGGGAGAGGGTTTTTTTTTTTTTTTAATGCCAATGAATGTACACATAGTCAGGTATATGAAGAATATAGGTTTGTAACCCTGACCCCTAGGCCTGGTAGATACAATTATGTGATTCCACATTTGGGTCACGATGAACCTGAACATCAAACCTCCAGGGATCTCCAAGAGACCCAGTTGAGGACACCCAAGACTTGGAGCCACAGGGCAGAATGGTAACCTCGGGGCTGTCGGGGCCATGGCATAGTGAATTTATATCTCCATTTACTGTAATAAATTTAGACTGCCAATCAGTTTGGTTGCTTCCGTAATGACTAAAGTTTATATGGCACTCTCCGGTTTTCAAAATACTTCTCATTTAATCCTCCCCCAAGCCCTGAGAGGTAGCTAGCATCATGTCCCCTTTCCCTTAGATTCGGAAGCTAAGGGCCAGAGAAGTGAAATAGCCTGCCTAAAACCACACAGCTCATAGATTCCAGAACTGGTCTTGAACATGGGTTTCTAATTCCATCTCATCTTGTCCATCGGCTATACCAGTGGTTATAGTCCCAGGCCACAAGGACAGACCAACTTTCCATCACCAAAGAACACACATTGCCCAGGTGGACACATTCCTTTTCACCGTGTTTAGAGAGACCCTCATTTTCCCTGTCCCGCTCTCTGTTCTCCCATGTTCTGCCTTCTATCTAACCAACCATCCATCCTCTCACCACCTTTCTTATATGGCCAGGTGGCCAAACAAAATAGGCAGAAGAACCAGAAGTCACAAATACATTTTTTTTTTATTCTTAGAAAGCCACATTAAAAATATTTTTATAGGCTCTGCGCCTGTGGCTCAAGCGGCTAAGGCACCAGCCACGTACACCTGAGCTGGCGGGTTTGAATCCAGCCCGGGCCGCCAAACAACAACGACGGCCGCAACCAAAAACTAGCCGGGTATTGTGGCAGGCACCTGTAGTCCCAGCTACTTGGGAGGCTGAGGCAAGAGAATTGCTTAGGCCCAAGAGTTAGAGGTTGATGTGAGCAGTGATGCCACAGCACTTGACCCAGGGCGACAGCTTGAGGCTCTGTCTCAAATATATGTATATATATATATATATATATATATTTAAAAACCAAATGTATTTTTTATACTGACTAAAATAGGGGAGAAGAGAACAAATTCTTGCGTGATATTGCACGGAGACACATCTTACACACGGTTAGGATATAAAATCAGTGAAAAGGGGGAGCATAACGACCTTCCAAATACTCTTGAAAGCCCCAGAAATTTTCTATGAAGAACCTGGTGCTATTTAGACCGTCCCATCCCCCCTAAGTCCTAAACAGCAAGTCTTTCTCCAGCTCCAGAACAAATCACTTGGTGAAGCAGCAGTTCAAGCAGCTGGCTCCCGTTTGGGAGCCAAACTGTGTAGAAAACACATTATTTGTTGAACATGTATATTTGAATTTCCATAAGTTAACTATAATGCCTGTGTGATTCCACTATAGTTTAGGTCTTTCAAAGGACACATTAATTTTTATCATACCAACATTATAATCCATGATGGCAGTTGATTCTCTTCATTCCTAGGACTGCATAGTTTTGGAGGCAGTTCCTGGACCACACCCTCCCTTCCCCTGAGAATGCACCCCACACACACCAGCAGATTTGCCATAATGCTGCTACATTAGCCATAGCTCATTGGCTGAGTAGTAGATGCCCCACCTCAGGGAGACCAATCAGATTTCTCTCCTAATTCAACCTAGGCCAATCAGCAACTCTGTCCTTAGTAATGGAACATAGGATGCTAAGATGCCCTTTAAATCATTTCTGGTGCTGGAGCTGAGAGTCTTGATGCAGTTCCAGGGCTGGAGCAGCCATTTTCTCCCTTGTGTTCAGAGAAACAAAGCCAGTCTTCATAAAAATAGGAGGCTGGAGTAAATACTCAATAAATAGATAAAAGAAACGACAGAACCCAGAGAAACAGAGCAGCAGATAATGCAGATACTAAAGCTACGTAGACCTTGCTTAGCCATCACTTTCCTCTAACATACAGGCTCAAAGCTAAAACACCTTGATTTTCCTGCCTCCCTTGCAGCTAGGGTGGCCCATGTTGTAGAGATTCAGCTATAAGTGAAAGCCCCTGGGGAGGGTTTCCCTGCTGGAATAAAGGCAAGCTTCTTGGGAGAAAGTGTTTTTCTCTTTGTCCCTGTGCCTTATCTCCTTTTTCACACCTGGAGCTCAGACTTGGAGCTGGAGCAGCCACGTTGGGGATCACCAGGCAATGAGCAAGAGGGCAAATCCCACCTGCTAACGATAATACAGCAGAAATACAAGAAGCCCTAGGTGGGTGCCTGTGGCATCACTGAGCTCTGAATGGTGGGTGACCAAGCTGCCTACCTCTGTACTTCTTGTATAAGACAAATAAATCCCTATCTAACTAAGCCACCATCATCAGATATATACATTTGTACTGTGGAACAAACCACCCAAAACTTAGTGACTGAAAATGACAAATATTTATTATTCCTATGATTTCATGGGTTAAGCCGGTCACTTGTCCTGTCTGGGATGGCTTAGCCAGGACTGGATGAGTTAGAATGACCATGCCTGTTCATTGGCAGGCAAGTTGGGGTAGGACAGTCATTCTCAACCAGAAGTGACTTTGTCCCCCAAGAGTAGTTTGGCAATGTCTGAATGTAATTTTGGTTGTCACAACTGCAACCAGGGGAGTAGATGCTACTCTCATCCTTGGTAGAGGCCAAGGATGATACTCAACAGAATAGTCACAATAGAGAATTACTTGATCTAAAATATTAGTAATTACTGAGATTGGTCTAGAATAAACTTCCATTGGGACACTTGTCTCTGCTCATCACACCCACTCCATCATCCAGCAGGCTAGACCACACTTGTTCATCTGGTCAGGGGTTCCTAGGAGCAGCAAGTGAGAACCAACCCCCCTACACAAGCACTTTTCAAGTCTCTACCTGCCTTGGATTTGTTAATATTCCATCAGACAAAGCCAGAGTGCGTGTGGGAGGGGCTCCGAATTTTCCCAATCTATCCACATCAGATTTTCTGTTATTTGAAGCTGAACAGGGCCAGGTGCAGTGGCTCACACCTGTAATACTAGCACTCTGGGAGGCCAAGGTTGGTAGATCACTTGAGCTCAGGAGTTCGAGACCAGCCTGAGCAAGAACAAGACCCTGTCTCTAAAAATACACACACTCAACCCCAGGGCGACTGAGTGAGATGCTGTTTCCAAAAAAAGCCCAACCTGAATACATTCTCATTTGACACAGAAGGAAAAATTCACCTTAATTCACAATGACTCTCTGATTCCCAGTTCTTTGCCTTGTGAAGGCCAGTTCTAACGCCCTCCCTTGGTTCCACCAGGACCCTTCACCTCCCTCAAGATTCCTTGGTTGCAAACAACAGAAACCTCTTGTGGCTATTTAGGCAGAAAGGGAGTTTGCTGAAAGGAAACAAGGGAGGTTAGAGAATCAAGGGCCAAGCAGAACTAGAAAGTCTGGCTTGAACAATCAGGAACTGGCTTTTCTTCCCTGTAGGGGAGTTTTTGCTTTTTGCTTCAGCAAGTTGGAGTTCCTGTTATTTGCAACCCAACTGGCATTTGCTAAGACCCTCTGTTAGGCCCCCAAGGGTGGTTCTGAGAAGCCACCAGAACCCTTTCCCCAGGGGGTCGTACCAAGGTACCACACCAAACCTCCCAAATTTCCTTCTGATGCTCCAAGAAGTTAAGATACACAACTAACTTCCTTCCGCCCTTGCCAATGGCAGCCCATTTGGATTCCTGGATTCGTGACTTTGCAGATAAGGTGCCCTTCTCCAGAAACTTGGCAGCCTTGCCAGCGCCTGCTGTTGTAGAAACCAGAGTCATGAAATGTCTAGGGGGAAAAAATAGCTTCCGGATCTGCACTCCCAAGTGTGCTCCTGGTAAGTGGAGTGGTTTCCAATTTTTTAGGAACTTAGGAAGGAAAGCACTACACTAACAAGGACAGGAAACCCAGACCTGCGAAAACTAACGTGTCCCTCTTTTCTGTGCTGGAGGCTTCCTGAAGCAGGAGTTAGGGCACCCGGTGAGGGTAGACTATTTCGGCTTATCAACTTGGCCTCATTTCCATCAAGATGTGCTGCTTGCATCCGTCATCTCAGTGTCCCAAGTTATTTTGGGCCAATTCATGACCTTATGTGCCTGTTTTTGTTTTTCAACATTTTTCATTGCTCATCTGGCCCCCAAAAATCCACCGCAAAGACTCCGACCTGTGCAGGGAAGGATTAGCAGGTCCTGGTTTTGAGTTTCATCTTTAGCATACTGTCGTCCTTTCTAAGACTCTAAAATTTTGGAGGCAGAAATTTTATGTTCTAGCTAACTGTGGTCTTTTTTTTTTTTTTTTTTTTTT